GGGGGTGATGTGGTGACACACTGATGTGGTGATGTGCTGACATCTGAAAGGGCTGCATGGGTTGAATTCAACTCCAGATGTATGAGCCGGTATTTAATGCACTTATCCCTGCAGCTTTGCAATTCAGGTCAAGTCAGTAATTGCACAAGAGCTGAGGATAATGGTAGCTTTCGGCCTTAATTTAATGAAGATTGTTTTGTAATTTTTAAGTACTGACAAGTGCTATCCAGATGCAGCCCTCAAAGCGTGTATTTGAGACTGCTGGAGACAAGCTGGTGTCCAGCACACCGAGATGGGGGTTTGTGTGCAGTCCCAGTGGAGCATCAGGAAGAGCTGTGTGCATGGAGATGAATGGCTCTGGGCGTTAATTACTGGGAAACGTGGCTTGAGAGCTGGGGAAGGGGGAGGCGTCACAACATAGGATGAAAAACCTTGTGCAATTGGGGCGAGAGTGTGCTTCTGCATACTTACAAATTACAGAAGATCGGCCCCATTAATAATGATTAGAAAAATACTAAAGTAGTAAAATACTTTCATCCATGTGACAGCTAGCATTAAAATCTAGTTCTTGTGCTTCCTGAGTAGAGAACTCCTGATTACAATCATCAGTTAGAAAATGAGTAGGTTTTATCCAATCTTCTAAGTATAAAAATAGGAGAAATATCTTCTGAGTGCAGCTATAAATTAATCAATCCTTTTCCAAGCAACGCAAAGGCAAAAAGAGCAAAGAGCTCCTTTGCTTAAGGATTGTGGCATTTTCCTTAGTTGTGCTACGCCACTCATATTAACTTGCAGGAATAGTTGGTGCTGTGCACGGATTGATGAATGGCACTGCAGAGTGTTGAGCACAGAAGGGGCAGGAGGGTGCTGGGCTGTGTGGCACAGCTGTGGGGCAGCTGCATGTGAGAGCAAGCTCTGCTCACACTCATCACAGCGTTCTCAGGTTCGCTGAGCACTCTTTGAACTCTTTGAAAGGGGAGATAACAGCAGGACAAGGTTTTAATTTGAAGGAGGGAAGATTGAGGTTGGATGTCAGGGGGAAGTTCTTTGCTATGAGAGTGGTGAGGTGCTGGAACAGCTGCCCAGAGAGGCTGTGATGCCCCGTCCATCCCTGGAGGTGTTCAAGGCCAGGTTGGATGGGGCCCTGGGCAGCCTGGGCTGCTGTGAAATGTGGAGGTTGGTGTCCCTGCGAGTGGCAGGGGGTTGGAGCTTCATGATCCTTGGGGTCCCTTCCAACGTGGGCCACTCTGTGACTGTGAGCACTCGCACTTGTCTGAAAGGCTCCCAAGGGCAAATATTCCACAGTGCAAACCCAAGTCGTCATTTCGTAACGCTCACCTTGGCGGCTCTGGCTGTAGGCTGTGCATGCAGGGCAGCAGCTCTGCAGCAGTGCCTGCTCAGTGTGTGGGGATGTGCAGCCCTGCTGCCTACCAGCTGCTCCAGAGTTGTGCGTGCATTTGAGAAAGAAGTGAGCGGAGCACAGAAAGAGGCGCAGTTGGTTGCATTAGAAACCATTTCTGAGGTGTATCACTGGATTGCTTCTTCCATGGAGTCAGTACACGCTTCATTCTTCACACACGGTGCTTGTACCAGGCTATGTAATGTAAAGGCTATCCTCTGCAAATGGTTTCAGCCACATTCTGCAACGTGTTCAAATCACTTCTTGCACAGCGAGGGAATTCGAGTGGGTTCTGACATAGAGAAGGGGTTGCTTTGGGCACTGAAGGATTGTACGAGGAAGAACCTGCTCCCAAATTACACCATTTGAATCCCATCTCTGGTTGGATCCAGTGTGCTTACACACCTGACCTGCTCAGTGCATTTGTAGAGATTCCTTTGAGGGAATTTTTCTTCAAATGTGAAAATGTTCCTCAACAGCTGGAAATCAGCTCTGTCTGTTGCTTGGCTTTCACGTTTCACACAGCAATTGTGTGCGGTGTTCTTTTTGTTAATTAGTACTACACAGAGCTTTAGCAGGTGTTTGTGTCTATCTGTGACACCTGTTCCCTGCAGGAGCACAGGCGTTAACGGACGATGCTCCTCAGTTGTTTTAGAAGGCTGTTGGAGCAGGTTGGAATCCCACTGCCATCTCCATCAGCACCGCAACCATCAATGCCTGCAGCCCTTTAAGGCAGGGCATGTTGCTCCCACAGCTGGGGGGGCTGCCCTCTGCGGGGGGAGAGGGGGGGGATCACACATTCAGTGCATTTGTGGCTGTGTGTTTGTGCACCAGCGAGGCAGCAACTTGGAGCCATCCCTCCAGGAGCACTGATGTAGAAGTGATGCTCCCAGCTGCTGCAGAAACACAATGCAGAGGTTCCAGGGAGCACCTGAGCTCCCCAGCTTCCCCTGGCCTGCTGCTCACTGTGATCCGTTTGGCACAGAGCAGCTCCTGGCGCTCTGAGCACATCCAGATCCCTCAGATCCCTGCTGGGATTCACAGCCTTCCGCGGAGCCCTCCGCCCTCAGAGGGACGCTTCCTCTGCCACCCCCATTCATGTCTTACACATCACACACGGCTTCCATCTGAGCTGCCTGTCTATTCAGATGCCACGATGAGACCCTTAATTAAATGACTGAATAGTTATTTTTGCGATCATTTGTGAAGAATTTCAGCCCGACGCTTCTGGTTTCTTATTTCTAATGCGAATGTCACTTTTCCCATTAAACAATGCTGCCATATGCGTAAGCTACTAAATCACCATTTTCCCCTACCTAACAGTTTCCATAGTTGCACTATTTAAATGCTTTATCAAAGAGATTTACCGCATTATCTCCTTCTGTTGGATTTCCTTCATGTGAAAAATCTCTTTATCAAATAAAAATGTCCCATTAGTCTATTGCACTTTGAATTATGTTCCTTAAACTTTTAAAGTCATTTTAAAGCCTTAAGTTCTATTGTGCTCCCAGTGGTTAGCCTAAAATTTGCCTGATTCGCTTTCCTCATTTCCTTAAGTACAGATAATACAGTTATTATTTTCCAGCCACAAAGTACTGCTTTCTCTTTTTCTCCTCCACCAAACCCCCCACGCTGCTGGATTTGTGGCTTTTCACTCTCAGACCATTCCAGCTCTCTCTGCTGTCGTCTCCCTTTTCTGCTCTGCCTTTTCTGTATGTTTGATGTCACCTGTATGGAAAATGGGGAGCAGATCTCATCTAGGATTTGAGCTGCTCCTCCCAGCCTTGTGTTCCCTACCTGAGCTGTTGCTGTTCTCTTCTGCTCAGGTCTCATCTCCTTTCTCCTGTCCTCTTCTTAAGACCAACGTTTCCGTGGCCAGGAACTGTTCTTGTGTGTGTTTTCCTTCCTGTGTGAAGCATCTTTGAACATCATACAGCCATGCTGTGCTGGTGTTCCCCAGTTTTCTTCTCATTGTTGTGTTTGGTTTCTCACCTGCTACTCCTTCAGGATTTCAGTTGCTGCTCACAGAAGTCATCCTTCTGGCTGAAGGTCAGGAATGCATCTCTAGTTTAGAAGATTTTCACTGATCCCTTGTTGCTGCCACACGGAACATAGGTTGTATGCCAGGATCTCAGGCTGGATATTAGGGGAAATTTCTTGTCCCTAAGAGCACTCAGCACCAACACAGCTTTCCAGGGGGTGGGGATCACCGTCCCTGGGGTGTTCCAGAACCACGGGGATGTGGCATGGAGGGATGTGGGCAGTGGGCATGGGGGGAGCGCTGGAGTGGGGTCAGGGTTTTGAGAGGGCTTCTCCAACCTCAGTAATTCTGTGATTCTATGATAGTGACTCTGTCCAAGCAGTGGATAAGCAACAGCCATAATGTGCATGGGGCTGAGGAATAGCCATCAGTGCCCTTCTTGTCCCCTGCTCTCCCACCTGTCCCTGAGATCCCTAATTACAAACAGAAGAGCCCAAAACTGTTGGGCTCCATATCACTGCACTGCCACAGCTCGCAGCAGCACACCTCAGCCCTACGCCCAGGGAATGGTGTGAGCTTTCCTTCCTGCATCCTTGGGCTCAGTGGTTGTACTCAGGTGCTGGGACCTGCTGCCACAGTTCTTCAGTGGCTCCTTCCTGCACAGAGCCAAAGGAGCTGCCAGATTGCGGCGCTGCCCTTGGGACTGGTCAGTGACATTCAGGGGCATCTCTGAAAGAGCATTTCTGCTCACCCAGGTGTGCAGGTGAGCGATGTGAGATGGTAGGAGGTATGATCTGTTTTGGAGAAAATTACAAACATTTTCTAAGGCGGAGCACAAAATACTGATAACAGCAGTGCCTAATTGCTTTGGTGGAAGGTTATGCTGCTGTTACACCCAGCTTGTTGGGTTGGTGGATTTTCTTGCTTGCGTATCTATAGAAAAGATTTTCAATTAATACTGACCTTTAATACTCCAACTGGTTTTTGATTCTGGAGATGGTAGTGCAGACTGCAGATGAGGTTTCCCAGCACACCTCGTTCTCTATGTTTTCCAGCCGATTGCTTTTGGGCAGCTGGCTGTACCTGTGCCAGTGCTGTGTTCAAACCCCAGTGTATTGGGCAGGAGTGCTGCCTCACTCCTCAGGCAGGTGTATTTTCTGTCTCTGGCTGCACTTTTTACTCACTGGGAAAAAAAGTCCTTATGGAGGAATGTTCATCAACTATAATTTAGAAAGAGAGGAATCTGTCTGGGGTGCATGTGGTTGTAGGGCGCTGGTATCGCTGGCCCTGATCAGAGGGACTTTGCCCTGAAAAGCAGCCTTGGTGGTAACTATTCTTATGAGTGATTATTGCACAAAACCCCAGGTAAGGCACTGTAAACAAATCACACCTACTTGTGCCAGTACCACACCACTAAAGTTCTAAATAGATTTCATGGAACTGTGCTCTGTTTTCACGTGCTCGTGGTTTTACATCGGTTTGTGAATCAACGAATGCCCCGTATGTTTTGAGGTTCAACTCTAAGACGGTGCAGCTGTTTTCAATCTAAAAATCGATAGCAGACTAATGGTATTCAGGAAGTCTGAGTTTTCACACCTACGGTTTCCCTTTTCCCCCCAGGTGTTACTTGGAAGATGGAGCTTCCAAAGGCGCGTGGCTGAACCGCTCGAGCATTATTTTTGCTGGCAGTGACAAATGGTCGGTGGACCCTCGAGTTTCCATCGCGACAGCAAACAGGAGAGAGTACAGCCTGCAGATCCAGGACGTGGACGTGACAGATGACGGTCCCTACACCTGTTCTGTGCAAACCCAGCACACTCCCAGAACGATGCAGGTGCACCTAACTGTGCAAGGTACGTGTTTAAGCTAATTGCAAGTTGGCGCTGGGGGCGTGCTGTAAAAGCAGCGCAGTTCAGTAACGAACACCAAACTGAAGAAGTAAAGACAAAGGGAGGCTGATCTTGCTGTACCAATCCGTAGCTTTCGTCTCATCCACACCACAGCTTCCTCATGGAAGTACTGCCTGTCGTTAATTAGAAAAGTCCATTTATTTTCACGAGATGGTTTTCTGTTTCGAGCTGGGCTGCCAGCTTTACGCGTGGAGGTAATATTGATTGTGTTGTTCTGGGGAGAGCAATCCTTCGTTCTGATTGTCTGCATGATAGTTAATGCCCTCGCACGAGGGGCTAAGAAAATAGTTGGAAATTAATTGCATTTATAAAACATATAAACAGGAGCTTAAAATTAATTAGGCTAACTGCAGGAATATAGAGAAATAATAACTCAATAGTTAAAATATGCATAATTATTAAGCGATTGCATTTATATCTTCAGAAATGCAAAGTATAACCTAAGGCTTTAATTTATTAGTCTTTGGTGTAATCATCATTAACATTTTCTTTTGCATTTTTATGAGTGATAAAGCAATGAATATAAAACAGAGGAATTGGAATGGCAATCTCTATTAATCCATATGGCACACACACAAATGATGGGTACCTAATGCTTCTCTAACTAATTGCTCTTAACTGCCGGACCTCCGGAGCGGGGTGCTGTGTGTGTCGGCTGGACTTTGTTGGCTCTGAGGGCATTTGGTGCATGAAAAATCTCAGTGCCACCAGAAAGCCATCGCTGTGTGGTCCCCACAGAGCTCCCCAGAGACTTCTGAGTGTGCAGAGCTGTGTGTGCGCTGCTCCTGGGGGCTGGGGGGCACTGGCACACAGCTGGGCTGGGAGGCTGAAGGGAAGAAGCAGCGACAGCATCAGTTATTGTTTTGGTTGTATATATACTGCATTTCTCCAAGATTATTTCTGTTTTCTGTGATCATTCGGGCTACTTTTTTCTATCTCAGCTCCTATTTTGAGGTACCAAACAGTATGAACAGTTATCAGCTGTGCAGGGAGAGTCTTGCTGTGCACACCTGGCAGGTGGGCGCCATTGCCTGCCCCACATGGGAAGGATCCCTCTGTGGGTCATCACAGGCTGAGCATGGGGCTGCCCAGCTCCGAGCCCTTCCCCTCTTGCTGCTCTATGCCCATGCCTCACCGCCATGTGCCGGGCTTGGAGGGTACAAGTGGAGGATTTATGCATCCTGAGAGAATGGAGACAGAGCTGCCTGAAAGTAACAGGCTGTAAAGGGAACATCAGCTAATTGGCACTGCAGCTTGCACGTGCTTTCTTGCAGCATAGGGTTCACGGGGATGACATCATAACATTTCGTGGAGGTGGTTTTGTGTTTCCTTTTAATACCGTTCATGAGTTTGTATTGAAAGATTAGAAGTGACTTCTGCTATTGGGGAAAAATAAATGAAGGGCAAAGCAGATCTTTAGCCAAAGTGGAATCATTCCATCAAAGGGCTGGGTTCCCATCTGTGCTGAGAATGAGTGATCGGCAGCAGCTCGGGAGCAGCAGATGAAATAGAACGAGAGAAGGAAAATGTAAAGGCAGCAGCACAGCCCTTTATCACTCCCCTGCCCTACAGACTGCGTTCCATCGAATAACACTGAAAGAAGACCCTTTCCTGCTGAAAGCAACAGCAGTGGAGGAGCCAGGGGTCGTAAATTGAATGGACGATACTTAGGTCTGATCATAAGCTCTCAAATAGGTTAAACTGCAGACTATAAAATTGTTTGCTGTGAAACCCTCACTTCAAAAGCTGTGTCCATCCAACTCAGTCTCTCTCTCTCTTTTTGTTCCGTTAGATCTTTACGTGCACAGATGCAGTAGGTTTCATTTTGAATATCCTTTGCTCTGCTCCTTGGGCTGACAATTTCCAGTCCCATGCATCCGAGTGTTTCAGAGAACCAATGCATTTTAGTGGGCAATCCAAAGTGCCCTGATTTCCATTAGTAAAACACAGAAAGGCAAAGAGGTCCAAGCTGCAAAATGGCCAGAACCTGGCTAAGTGTGGGCACGGCTCCTGTTTTGTCATTGGCCCCAGAGTTCAACAAGTTCATCATGCCTCCATTACTTGCCTTCTGATTTGATCTATTTTCTGGCTCATGACAGGAGCATCCCCAGGCACAGCTTTGGCTGTGTTACCCCAAATGCTGTGCACTCACAGATTAAACCACAGATCTCTTACACACAATGCTGTGTCCTGGGATGTGCTCAATGGCTGTGGGCTGCAGGGAAGCAGCTGCTGTCCCATGCCTGCCCAGTGGGACAGGTGAGAGCGGAGCCTGATGGGGAATTCCACCTCTCCAGCCCCTGCTCAGGGCCCTAAGGAAACACTAAGTCAAGCTGTAGTCACTGTTACTGAGTGCTTGGGCAAAGTATTTTGCACCAAGAAAACAAACTGAGGTAACTGATAATAAAAGAAAAGTCCTAACGTGTCTTTAGCCCCCATTTACATCGGAGAAAGGAAACCCAGATGAAAGGGAGGAAGATAATCCAGTTTCCTTTACTTCAGTGATCTTGTTAAATAGAAGTGAGAATTACAAAGTAATTAAATTAGAAGTTCAGAAGGTAGGAGTTTGCAATCAGCATAATCTACATCAGAGCCAGGTGCTTGATCTGCAGAGCCGTGAGCTGCGGATCACAGAATCACAGAATGGCCACCTCAAGGATCACGAATCTCCAGCCCCCCCGCCACATGCAGGGCTGATGTCACTCTCAGCTGTTTGCCGAATTGAAGTCAAAAAATGAAATACCTCTCACCCTTAAATATTAATTATTTAGCTACTCTGCCTGTGCACAGAGCTGACCTTTGGGGGAGGCAATGCATGGTTCACAGTGCAGCCACCAGGAGGGCTCAGGTGGGTGGGAGATGCAAGGTGAGCCCCAGCCAGGCGCTGCTCCTGGCACCTTATGCCACCTGTGGGTATTGCCCACCATGCCCACTGCACACACCGGGCGTGCAGATGTCTCAGCTGTCTCCCTGAGCACCATTTACAGATTTGGTTGGAAACCACAACCTATATTTTAAATTTATGAGTGTGTAATATTTCCAAAGTAATACTCAAGGCCTTTTTTCCTGCTTAATAAACCTCTTTAATGTCCCCTAAATATTAATGTATTGATTTAGTCTTTGCAATGTTTGCAAAGTCTAATTTGTTTCTTCAGTGGGGCCAAGAGGGACTTGCATTTGGAGTTAACGAGATAAATCTTACCCAAATTTATTTAAAGTGGGACAAAATAAATATGCAAAAGACTTCTAAACTCACATAGCAACCACTCTCCAGCTATAACTGACAACACGTTACTCTTTGAAATTGCCAGCACTCGAGCAGGATGTCAGCTCTTGGTATAAGATTAACTCACGACTGCCAACCACTGTTCATGGCTCGTCCCTGCCCAGCACACAGAGCAGAGGGGCTGGGAGAGTGGGATGGGAGAGCTGGCCCCACGTGGAGCCGAGGTCCCATGTCCCCTTGCAGGGCTGATGGCACCAAGAAGTGCAGGATGCTCCCTTTAGGGCTTGTCCTCCTCTTCCATTCACTGGATTGCTTCCACACCGATAGCTGCAGGGCCTCGTTCTCTGGAAGATGTCTGTGTATGGCTTTCTGCCCTCTTTAAAAGCCTTAAATCATGGCAAGTGTTTGCACTAGCAGGTGATCTCATTTACTGGGATGTAAGTCTGGAATATTTCATCTGAAATAGAACGGGGCTCTGCCGGTCTGCAACTCGTAATTCCACATGCTGGAGCTGCTTTATGGTCACGGCTGCAGCTGAATTTCCATTATGAGCCTGAAATTTCCATCTTCTGAAATCTGCAAGCAAAGGGTAATCAACACAAAGTAATCATTTGCTCTCTGGTCCAAAGTATATTAGTTCTGATACATTTGAATTAAGCTGAATGAGCTTTTTTGTGACCTGTGAGAGTCCTGTGGAAGAGCCCGAGGTGACTTTCAGCAGGTCCTTGCAGCGTGACGCAGTGCCACAAGCAGAATGGATGGAGGGAAAGTAAGGGGGGAATGGGGCAAGGATGAGGAAAGAATGAAGCCTCTCTTAGTGCTGCCCAAAGCTTCGGCCCGGTGAGCTCCCACCCCACAAACATGAGATAACAAATGCAGCCAGCTGGCAGAGCTGTGCGGCACTCCAGGTGTCAAAAGAGTGATGAATCCTTCTGAAAGAAAGCTTTAAAAAGGGGGTTTTGGAAAGAAGGCAAATTCAGAACGAGAATGTATCAAAGGTGGCTGTGGCAGCTCTCCTCATTGGGTGTCCTCTGGGGTTTAGCAGCATTACAGCAAACAGTGGGCAGATCCATGGCTTTGCATAAGGACATCTGAAGTGGATGATGAGAATAAAAGCTGCCTGGAAAGCTGTTTTGTGACTGGATTGCAGAGTATCCCAACCTGGAAGGGACCCACAAGGGCCGTGCAGTTCAACCTCTGACCCCACGCAGCAGCACCCACAGCCCAAACCTGGCTGAGAACACTTCCAAGGGCTTGGTTCCCTCTAAGCATGTGTGTCTGATGGCCATTCCTACAGCTCTGCCACCCCTTGTCCAAATGCAGCCCCGTTATTACAACTAAAGGCAGTGGCTGCCCTTGCACAACTGAGCTGCTAATTATTTTGTTACTCATTACCATCACTGCAGCATCGCAAGCAGTTTTGGTAGTCTGTACCCTGAGTAAACAGTGTAATATTTTATTGAGCTCTCTGCTGCCTGTCACTGTGATCACTGTGATTACTCTGATTTACCTGATCCTTTCTTCATTGCATTTCCCGTTATTTCTGCTTCTGTAATTTCAGACTGTCACTTATCAGGAGAAAATAACGTGTCCCAAGCTTTAAACTTAAATTTTTCCTTGGAGCATTGTTAACAAAGACAGAAAGTTGAACAGATGTGGAAATTATCCCACCTGATGGAGGTTACAACTAGAATTATTTGGTTTTGTCTTGCAAAAA